TTAGAGTACAAATTAAAAAAATATTATTACTTATTTAAATAATTTTTGATTCAGATGGTCAATTGTTTCTATTTTTTTTGTATTATTATTAAATGAAATTTAGAATAGTCCGTAATTTTTTCAAGTAGTTCTTAACATATTGCATTTGTCTTACAACCTCCTTAACAAAACAACAAGATAACGATTAAAAACGAGCAAAAGTTGTTAGATTACAATAAAAATATATATTTGAGATATCTAACATTTTCGCTCGAAAATGATCAAAATTTTTATTTTCCCTGAAAAAAGCAATAACGAGATAACCCAATATAAATAATATCCGGCGAGATCACACGTCGCGCGCGCGCGGTATTTGGCCTCATAACTACTTTCACGCATACGATAAAATATTTCTCATACCGAGGTATATTGATATCGCCCAAGTATGTTCTCAATACAGAAAACCGGCGCAGCATCTCACTTTCGAGTCACGGGTAAATAATATAAATTTATAATTTGAAAATGACATTAAAATTAAATCTTTTCAATATATCAATTTATTTTATATCTTTCTATCAAATTTTACAATTGTCATGTATTTTTGTTAGCACTTTCCAAAGTTTTTCACTTATTAATTTTGTGTTAAACAAAAATTGATGGGAAAAACGTTAAGAAAAATTCATAAGTAAAAAAACGAAGCTTGTATACTTAACAGGTTCTTTAAAAGATTTCAATGAGAATGGAAACAATTTAATTGTGCTTTATTTACTTTTTATCTCTCTCTCTATTCTGCCGACGTAATTATGTGATCATTAAACCGCCGCAATTTTCTTAATGCAATCTAAAGAAGTAGATCGAAAGAAAGACAGTCTGAAATAGACGAAAGTAGATCAGAGTCGCGAGAGAGAACTGCTTTAATATATTTAGTCAAAAGATTTAGCGGAAGTGAGCCTTAAGAATTGTAAAAGGAATTTTATCGGAATTAAATATATTTAACGTTAACGTAACGAAAATATAGAGCAGTATATACACAAGGTATTTCTTAAATAGCGCACACTAATCATGTAACGCTATTCCTAATTAAAAATTGAGTCGAAAAATCCTCTACAATTTTGTAATTTTCGCATGATTGACAAAATATTAATTTCTAAAGATTGCCGAATAAGCGCGTATTCGGCTGTCCAACTATTACAAAAGTTGCAAAATGGTAGAGGACTTTTCAACTCAATTTTTGATCAGAAATAGCATTATGTGATTCAGCAATCTTTAGAAATTAATATTTCGTCAATCATTGCGAAAATTGTAAAATAATAGAGGACTTTTCGACTCAATAATTTTTAATCAGGAATAATGTTATATGATTAATGTCCGCTATGTAAAAAACACCCTGGTGTATAAAAGTTCGGGATATACATATATATATATA